GTGCTGATTTAACTTCATCTTCTAGTACTAAGAGATTCTATAAATAGGGAATAATTTGTAAAATATCTTACAAAATATCTCTATTATACAGAATTTCAGTATACTAGTTTCAGTATGCCATTTATCTATTTTATTAATGATGACATTTTATAATTTGCTTTGTAATGTATTTTATGGATTAAGATTTTTGCTGCATTTGAAATGGACAAAACTTTCTCATTTTTGTTGAGTATCTCATATGTATTGATAAAATTATTGTTGGATATTGCTAATCCATTGATAATTGATAATTGAAGTTAACTTCTTCCAATATTTCTGGTTCCAGTGTGTTTATTGGTATGGCTGCAGTATATCCATAGCTTTGCAGTGTAGTTTGAAGTATTTTTATCCATTAATTTCTAGCCCTTCAAAATGAAAACATTACTGTTAAATGGTAACACAAAAGTTAAAGATGACAAGCCTACCACTTGGACTAATTAAAATAAGCCTAAATCAAGAAAGATTATGATTAAGATCACACATGATATTGCTAAATTTGAGACCTCCAGAATGTGGAATGTAAAGCAATGCTGCTAGGCTTGATGCATGTTTCAGTAAGAGACATCATTTATTACAATACCATTTTTCCATTCTGAATGGATTCTTTTGTTAAGAGTTCAGGTTCTGTTCCTCAGTGAGAAAAGCTAGCTTTGTAATTTCCTGCTTCTGATATTATCCAGACATATTCAAGGCAATAATGATGAGCTTCTTATAAGAAAAAACACAGTGGCAGATGTTCCTTGTTAGGCAACAATTTACTGATTTTTTTTTCAGTAAGTTACATGTTTGGAAGGCAAAAGCTTTTTTTTTCATATTTCATAAACCAAACAGTAGCATCAGTGCTTCTCTTTGTTATATATATTTTAGTGCCCCAGCAGTTTCAATAAAATTCTATAATTCTATACAAAACCTGTTTAAGGCTTATTTTTGAGTTAAGGGTGGATGGGATTGTGTTGTCAATATTTGCACAATACAACCCAAACTTTGTTTACTTCTTGTGTCTTTCATAGCATTCAATTGCTGTTGCTATTCAGTTTCCCATTACAAAATTTTGCACGTTGTCATTCAGTGTTCTTAACTGCCACAATCAATTAAAAATGTACTGTTTGTCTTTCAACTACCATACACAAGCCATTTGTTTACCCAGCTCAAATCTACAGAATTTTAAGAGATTGTTGACGTGGATATGTTAGAAGAATTTATAATTAGATTCTGAACTTGGTTGTCCAATGAAGGACTCAGGACAATTGCTTGAAGTTGAGGCAGTTTATTCAAAAAGCCAGACAATGAAACAGACAGACAGTGAGCGAATTGAAGGCAGCCATAAATTAAACACAGAAGCAGAAATATTTATAGGGGGGTTGGTTCCTTGTTTGTGAGTTTTGCCTGCCAGTATGTTTTGTCCTGGGAAGTACATGGGCTCCAGAGGGAAGGAAATTCAATTTTCTCATTCCATGGCATATAATCCTTATCTCTTGTGTCTAGGTGTTGGATTCTTGCTAGTGCTTGAGGACTTGGATCATATGGATAAAGGCATTTCTCAACTATAGTGGGAGAATGTAGACTTGCCATTTCCAATCAAATTGCCAGCCTAAGCCTCATTTAATTCATCAGGTAATCATAGTGGAAAGTACTATGGGCCAACTTGGACCAGAAATAAAGACCATCTCCTTTAGAAAGCACTGGAGGAGGAGTTAGTTTAGTGCCAAGAAGGTGCCCCCATCAAAGTGCACCTCCTATGTCACACAAGCTGCACCAGCAATGCAGCCACTTCTTCAATTTGCCCCAAACAGCAGAACATGATTTGGCAAGATCTCTCAAGAGTGCACCTTTGTTTCTGCTAAGCGTGGATGGCATTCTATCTTTCTTCCTATTATCAGGCATCCTTTACCAGGGTTTGAGATAAGATATCATATTGCTGCTGCTTTCTTCTATACCTCTGCCCTTCTTTCCCACTATTCCTTTTGCTCTCCAGCAAACAGCTGGGGAGCACAAGGAAGCCATGAAGTAAGTTGGCCTGACTCATCTGCTTGGCTCTTACTTCACTTCCAACTAGAGTAAGGAGGATGAATGGCAGACAAATGGGAATGTCTCTTCAGTGCAGCTTTCCCTGCCCCCATTGCTGTTCCTCACTAGCAGCAAAAAAAAAGGCATTTTCAACAAATTATTCAGAAAATAGATGACAGAGTCAGCAGAGGAGTCAACAGCCACAAATATAAATAAGGTGCCTTCCTTATGTAGACTTATCATTACACTGAGATAAGCTTTCTTCAATCTTGCACTCTCGTTGCTTACAGTATTTTGATTATAGACTGACTCCATACAAACTCAATTCCCATGCACACGGCCTTTGGATTAAGTTATATATTGTTAGTACAGTACTTGTAGTCTTTTCTTCTGTTCAATCAGATCCAATTCTCAGAAATTGCCTCAACAAGTCCCTGCAGTTGTCTTTGCAAGATTTTTTTAGAAGTTTGTCTCTTTCCTAGGGCTAAGAGAAAGGTCACCCAGAGGGCTTTATGCCTAATAACTTATAGTCTCCTGATTTCTAACTTGATACCTTAACCACTTACCAAACTAGTTCTCATTTGTAGTCATAATGGAGTGTTTATATCTATATCTATCTCTGTCTGTCTGTCTGTCTATCATCTATGTTTACTGGCAATAGTAACAATACCTAGAGTGTTTCTATCCGTATAGGTTACTCCATTAGTGACTCCTTATGTTGCAGCCTCTTTGCAGTTGTTTCAGCGTGGAATATCTATCACTTAATTCTTTAAATTGGATCGGAGTTAGCAATGACATTTGCTTTCCCTCCAAAATGAATATTAATAATAATTTTAAAATGCTGTGTACATTATGTTAAATTTGATTATGAAGCAATTTTATTTGACAACTCAAAAACCATATCCCATTTGTAATAAAACCCAACACAGAATCTCACGAAGGTCACTTTAGCAAGACAGATTGTAACATATTTTTTTATTAAATATGTAAAAAGATAAACGCAAATCAAATTATTCACATATTCAGAGACAAAAAAAGTATATTCTGTCATGCGACAATTGGTAGGTAATGCAAAATGACGTACATCTGAATAAGACCTTTTTTGCATCTATTATGTCATTATCTATTTATAATTAACAATAATTATGTTTACATTCCTTTCAGTTTACATTTAATATATAACCAAAGCTTTATGGTGTGCTATTCAGTAAAAGTAATTGCAAATGCATATTAAAACTGTAACGGAATAACAGGATTACTCACCACAGGGGAGGGGGGGGGTCCTCTTTCCTTCCAAGAGTCTCTCTCTCTCCCCTCAGCACAACTGAGCAGATCAGGTTTTATATTAAACTATTTCCCTGCTCCTCCCAAGCCCGCCACTTCCCATCTCCAAATGGGGGGGGGAGGGAGGGGGAGGGAATACTTCGTAGACTAGTCATACAAAGGGGACCGTAGAAAACATTACTCTCCTCCCATGGACACAAAATATTCCTATGTGACAGGTTGGGGAGCAGAGAGGCTTTGGATGAGAGCAGTTCAGAAACAAACCTCGAAAAGCCCAAAAAGCGCTTCAAAAGGAAGTATTTTAAAAGTTTTCCTAGAAGGAAAAAGAAACAGAGATATGACATGACTGCATTAATGGCGATGGGAGTGTTCAAAAATAATGACTTCCTCTGCGGATTTTTTTTTTTTTTTTAGCACAAGAAACATTTTGGAGGTGGCATAACAATAATAAAGATTATGGTTTTTTTTTATTATGACAGTATACAGTTTTTGAAAAAAATGATGCTATTTATGAGTTTGATTATGCCTGCCAAGACAAATCAAATCCTTTTCCTTGAAAATATTTAAAAGATTTTTTTTTTAGGAAAGGTGAAAGTGTTAAGTTTATTTATGATGAGTTGGCATAGTATATATAGCTTTGTTAATTCTTCTAAGCTGAAGAGATCGAATGCTTCAACTGAGTTACAGGATTAAAGAGAGATTGTAATACATGCTGCCTGATCTGTAATTAAGTATCATTCTGAAGCAAGAAATTTCAGAGAAAAAGAAACTTTGAAAGATGCAATACATCATTTATAGTATTAATAGAACTAGCACTTATGACCAGACCTTTAGTGATGATAACCTGTACATTGAATTCTATTTGTTTTTTGCTAGAATATTTATAACCAATCCAATTTAAAACCAAGCAAAATATAAAACAGTAAATACAATGGAAAAATACCACAATTAGAATGTGAAAATGTGCAATTTAAATACCGTGTTTCTCATATAATAAGGCCGGGTCTTATTTTTTTTTGAGCCCCGAAAAAATGACTAGGCCATCTTTTCGGGGGGACGACTTAATTCCCCCCCTTGCATCTTCGGGCGGGCGGGCAGCGATGGCTTGGATGTTGACCTCAACATTGGTGGGGCACTTCATATTGCGGTCAATGTAGGCAGCACCATATCCGGGTGTGCAACAAAAATACTTCCTAATGGCAAGCCCCCCCACCATTCCCCCCCATTTTGCATGTTTTAATATAGGCCTTAATTTGGGGGGGAGGGGCTTAATTTCATTTCATGCCTATAAAACATGCTGGGACTTCCTATTGGGGGAGGCCATATTGTTGGAGAAACAGGGTAATAAGGAATGTTTTAATATGATTTATTTCTATTATAAAAATGTCACAATCTAAGTGCAAATTTAACTAGAAGTTAATAGAACTCATGGCAATGAATATGTCTGTAATCCAGCAATTTGTTTCTCCATGCTACCAATTCATTGATCCGGACTAAAATAATGATTAGCTTTTCTTTCTGGATAAGATATCCCCACTAATACAACGTGGAAACTGGCATGGCATCTGTGTATCCTTGAGTTACTCACTGACTTTTAGATTCCAAAAAGATATATGAAGATTTTAGAAGATAAACTGCAACTGTGCTAGTAAATATTCTGACTTGCCCAACACTTGCACAGAAGAAAAAATAAATGTTTGTTTTCATAATCAGTGTAGCCAGCAGTGGGAATTGGAATATAGGTGACATCTTGAGACATATATACTGTAAAGATCAGTATAAATGCTTAAATTGACAAAACATTGAATATAGAATTGAAACAAGAATAACCTTTCTAGAAGAAGGAAGTGTCCAAAGAAAGATTAGGCAGGCATGTATGCATCTTCCAATACTATAAGAAACACTGTATAGCTTTCTAGCATGCTTTGGATTATGACATCAGAAACATTACAGCTCTAGCATGTGTGCTTTTGTTCTAATTAGGGAAAATTATTTGAAATTACTTGAATTTGTCTATTTCAATTATTTCCCACTTTTGCCTTTTGTCCAAAGTAATGTCCAAGTGCACCGAATTATCATGAAATGTGAAACCTAACTGAATAGTACTTTTTATTTTAAGAGATGCCCATATAAATAGTTTTGAACAAATTACAAATGTTATTCATACTTAAGACAGAAGGAAAAATAAATATATATATATATTATATTTATATATATATTTTTAAAAGCTGAACAAATTTCAAGCAGCCAGATAGTGACGTTGCAGTGGTAGAAACTGGGAACAAAGCTTGCAGACCTTCTTAGGTTCAAACGCCGATAGAAGACTTCTGCAAAACACATCTTGGCAAGTTGGCTGACACAGTATGGTACATTTATGTTAATGGCAGACAGAGAGTGATTGGTTTCAAGTCTGAGGCCACACACATTCCATTCTTCCAAAGAAAGTTCCCACAGAAAATCAGAAACAGCCAATGTGCCAGATGGTCAGTATTCTTCCTGCTGCTGGGGCTGTTCATGAACCTGTTCTTCACCTTCATGTTCTTCTGTGTGGCTCTCCTATATAAGGTAGGAGAGAAAAAACAAACAAACCAAAGTTGATCAAACACTAAAAGCAAAATTCTGTCTGCTTATGTTTCTAAAACAATGTTAGCGAGTTCAACATTTCTTAATCTTTACCACCTAGAGAGTGTTAAAATCATTAGGGGTCTTATACATTGTTCCCTAATTACTCACATTTTTATTTTTATTTAAAGCTAGGATTTTGTGTGAAGGAGAGAGAGAGCGTAAAAAAGCTTGAAACCTGTATACAGGGAAACTGAATTTCAAATATGAATATGATTCACTGGGGATCATGGAATGGTAAGCTGATACTTATCTCTATTTATTGGTCTGAATTTTGGATCTTATCAGTATCAACTCCCCCAGAATATTCACAATTCTTTTATGGACTATAATCTCTGCAAAGAAATTCTGCGCCCTACCTAAAACCACTTTGTGGAATAACTAGCAGAGAAAGGCAACATTGGAAGACCTTGAACATGAATGTTATCCAATTCCATTAAAGCTACATTATTTATGCTATTGTGTAGAGAAAAAATAGATTATGAAGACTTACATGTTCTTCTGAAGCATACAGAACTTCCATTAACCGTTGAACAAGATCATTGTTTTCTTCTCCGTGTTCTTGACATAAAAGCTCAATCTCCCTTAATTTCCCAAAATAGAAATCTCTCTCCTTTTCCACACCTTCAAGTGCAAGTTTTAATGAATGTACCTGTGAAAATAAAACATCTAGGTAACTCTATATTTATATCGCAAATCATACAAACTGCACAATTGCTAGGCAAACATTCTGTTCAATGCATTCAACACAAGTGGAAACAAATTTGTACTATATACTGAAGAATTCATTCTTGTTTTGTTCTAACTTCGATGTTTCTCCATAATATATCAAAGATATTCTCTAACCTCATTTGGACAAGTTTTAAAATGGTGGTCTTATGCTATTCAGATGCTTCTCAATTTACAACCATTTGTTTAATGACTGTTTGAAGTTACAAAAGTGCTGAAAAAAATTATGTATGATCAGTCCTCTAACTTACAACTGCTGCAGCATCCTTATAGTCATGTGATCAAAATCTGGGTGCTTAAAAACCAGCAACATACAGTATTTACAATGGTTGCAGAATCTGGGGTCAGCTGATTGCCATTTGCAATCTTCTCAGAGGGCTTATGACAAGCAGAGTCAATAGGGGAAGCTGGAGTTATTTAATGACCATAGCAAAATTCCACTCTCAACTGTGGTCACAAGTCAAAGTACTCTTTTGCTCACATGCAGAGTTATCTCCCCATTTGGTAGCCTAAGCATATTACCTGTTCGCTAAGCTGTATGACTTGTGTCTCCAAATCTTTATCAGACTTTGACACTGAACTGCTTGGCGGTGTTCTTTTGGCTGATGATGGACGAGATGATGTGGAGCCAGGTTTTGATGCAGGACTGGATTTGGCAGCACCTGAAAAAATATATTAAAATAGTTTTTAAAGTATTAGTTAGAACCAAGACTCTTGTCACTTAAGAAACCAACTATGATGAATGTAGAGAATCAGTATGTAAAGCATTGTATGATTTAGTGGGCCAAGGACTTTGGATATAATATAATGCTTGAACAATGAGAGAATATGTGGACAAAAGGTCAAAAATTCACATTAAATTATAATTTAAAAGAAAATATTTATAAGATGTTATCTATTTGGTATCCAACAGCGACAAATTGTCAAGAAAGTATAAAGGTATCTCAAATGAATGTGGGAAATGTAAATATAAAGAAGGAATTTTTTATCATTTTATGGTGGACATGTGACAAAGCAAACAAATATTGGAGATCTTAAAGTGAATATAAAGATAAAACCAGAGACTTTTATTTTAGGCCTAATGGGCAAAGAACTTGAAAAAATAATGGAACTTTAATGTTATACATGTTGACATGTATAATTACTTTATGCACTGCCCTAGCATGCAGCCCTTACAAAGATCCCTATCCTACCCCTGAAAAGATTAAAGCTGGCAAAGCATATGGCAAGGACTTGATTCAGAGAGTTATGCCAAGGCTGTGCAAAGTAGGGAGCCACCAGCCAGCCCTGGTTGCTCTAGCTCAAAATCCCCAATCTGCACCTACCTTGCTTTTGCTTGCTTCCCGGGAGGCATCAGAACAAGCAGCTGTTTTGCAAGATCTTAGTTGGCAGCCACAAGAAAAGAGCAAACTGCACTTGGTGCACAGAATCCTGGTAGGCAGATTGGGAATACACATGGTAATGTGTGATGAGCTGAGACTGCTGAAGCCAGGAGCCTGGGGGCCAGGATGGCACAAGGGCAAAGAACCCAACAGAAGGCAGAAGATGGCAAAGATCAAAAACGTCAGCAGAAGTAACCAGCAGAATGCAGGCTGGCTAAAGGGCAGAGGTGGGGTGGAGATAGGCAACTAGGGAGAGTTGAAGTGAGGCAAGCACAGCAGAGTAGGAGAAGTCTGAGATCCTCCCTCAACAATGACATGATCCTGGAATAACAATCACAACTGGGACTACTGAAACTGCTGTCGCTAAGGGATGCAGCTCACCTAATAACCACTTCGCTTAGACATGGAAATTCCAATCCCAATTAGGGTCACTATAAAACTAGATTACACCAGCGGGTTCTAGTAAGAGGGAATCTATAAAGTAAAGAGGAGATGCCATGCATCCCATTTCTTTAATATACCCATTAGTAACAGCAGCAGCTAAGAATGTGCTCTTCTTTTAAGGATGCAGGATTTCAGGAGATTTATAACTAAAGATTTAATATGCTAATGAAACCAACCTCCAGTCTGCAAAAGGCCAAAATATTTACAATAGATCATTAGATTTAAATATAATTTTATTATGCATTTCTCTTTTGTAACATATACATGCAAATAATTCACTAGAAAATAAAACATAAAATATCGTAACAGTCTATCCTCGTCATTTCAGTATGTGGAACATATTATAGTCTACATCAGTAACCGAACACCGAACATGTGTATGAGCCACAATTACATACAGAAGTGCACTTGTTTACACGTGTATGCTGAAGAAAGATCTAAATCAGGTTTTGGCAGAGGAAAACCTAACATGATTCATCCTAAAACAACATAATTGGGATAAATATACTCTTTCTTACCAAAGAGACAGTTTTATTTAAACTCTATTTGGGAACTGTACTATCACATTTTATATATATTTTAGAGGGCATGATAGTGCCCCATAAATCACAGTGTTATATGATGTGATGTGGATAAAAAGCCATTGTCCTTTAAAGTTAGTGAAGTTAATAAAGTTGTATTTTTAACATACTATTCAAAAATTACAACTGTAAACAGTAATCGTTCACAATCGTGGATAAATACCTGCTGTAGGAGAGTTTGCATGATGAGATTTTTTTGGCAGATTAAAGATCTGTTCCCCAGGATCAGGTGGTGGAATTGCATCTTGTCCTTGCCGAGCTTCTACTGGATCATATTCTTTGCCATCATAGTTAGCATCAAAAAATTTCTTAAACCACTGTATGAAATCAAGGTTATCTTGGAAACGTCCCTTTACTAATTTCTCTACTGGAATGACCTGTATGGCAAACAAGGCAGATCAGTGATTTAAAATACCAACAGAAGAATTTCAATAAAAAATAATGTTTCCAAATCCTAATAACAACAGTGTAATACCAAATAGTATACGTAATAACAAATATCACTATACAAAATTTTGTGTTCCTCCTCCAAAAATTGTAGTCCTTGTTGATATAATTTACATAATTTCAACAAGAAATGTAATATATCTATTTACAGGACTACCTAGCCAATGAAATATTACATTTATTTTAGCTACTATAAAAGGAGCCATCACTTTTATACCATTCATCAATTTCAAACATCCTTTTTCTATTAAATAGATAATTGAATAGTGTTATAGACAGCTCTGCATAAACTGGAATCTTTACCTTATCCACATTCATTCTTTTAAATGATGCTTGTAGAAGTTTGAAGTTATGAATATACTCATGTTCGAGCTTCGCTTGGAATTTTACTTTCTTCAAACTAATACACCCTGGGAACAACATATCCATGAACTGGCAGTAAGCTGCTCCTAGAACAAGAGAACAGAGGCATATTAGTTGCAGTGCAAGCAAATAAGCTAACCATGTGTCACAAGAAACAAATAGACTTACTTATCACCAGCCCAAAAAGGAACAAAAAGATTCCAGCACCTCTCCACCAGTAATCAGCACCCAGATCAGCATACATTAACTCCAAGGTTATCATCATCAGACCAACAATCAAGTAAACAATACCCCAATCAAGAAACTGCTGAAGAAGCCAACAGCAAACAGCCCAATCAAAGAATCTCTAAGACCACCAACACTGACAGGCAAGCCACTACAACATAAACTGGCAGCAAATAGCACTCCTTACTAACATTGTTGATATTACCTTGTTTGGGTAATGAAACGTCTGCAAGAAAACAAGCAAGCTCAGAGAGCACTAAGGACCCCTCGTGTCAATCCTGAGTTACAAATATTTTCTTTTATTAAACCTACTTATTTCAGTTGTAACAATAGGATTAAATATCAAAGTTCTATCTTAATATCAGATTGAAGCAATGTGTACATTTAATAGGTGACTGCTTTTTTAAAGCACATCTGCAACATTAGAATTATAACATATAATTAGAATTATAACATATAATATAAACTATATGTTCCAACAACAACTCCCAAAACAAAACAAAAAAGCAGATTACCCATATCAATAAGGAAACTTCAATCCAAAAAGAGATCACTCTGGCGGAAAAACAAATCTGGTCACGTTGCCAATTTCAAAAACCGATACAAAAATTTATGCCACCAGATAAAGACCGAATGCACCAATTATCACATTAAACAAGAGGAAAACCTTCTAAGCACCAATTCCACCTGTGCTTTTTACAATTTTGTAAACAACAAACTAAAAGACTCAAGGTCCATCCCACCCTTGATAGGACCTGATGGTAAAGACTGCAACGACGACACCATTAAAGCCAACCTCTTTAACACATTCTTCGGCTCCGTATTTGTAAACAGCAATGGATCATGCCCAGTATTTCCTAGCCGTACCACAGATAACAACAATGATCTAATACATATCGATTTCACAGAAGACAATGTTGAAAAATCACTACGCAATCTAAAACCATCTCTATCTATTGGACCGGATGGAATATGTGCCTACTTCTTAAGAAAGCTATCCACTGCCATAGCCAAACCTCTAAGCATAATCTTTGAAAAATCTTTCAGGACCAGCTCTTTGCCTAACCTATGGTCACAAGCCACAGTCATCCCCATCTTCAAAAAGGGAGACCCAAGCCTAGTTGAAAATTACACGCCAATCTCCTTATGCTGCGTCACCTGTAAAGTCATGGAATCAATTATTAACCAATCCATCATCCTCCACTTAGAGACAAACAACCTACTCTCCAATAAACAATTTGGTTTCAGAAAAAAACTATCCTGTAATCTGCAACTCTTACACTGCAAAAACATATGGACGACACAACTCGACCAAGGCAAAGCAATAGACGCAATCTACATAGACTTCTGTAAAGCCTTTGATTCAGTGGTACACGACAAACTACTCCTAAAAATAAAATCCTATGGTATCTCTGGACAACTGAATAACTGGATAGAAGCATTCCTGTCAAACAGACAACAAATGGTCAAAATCGGGAGCGTCCTATCAAATCCAGTACCTGTCAATAGTGGTGTCCCCCAGGGCAGTGTTCTAGGACCAACTCTCTTCATACTCTACATAAACGACCTCTGTGATCATATTAAGAGCAATTGCGTTCTCTTCGCTGATGATGTAAAACTGTTCAATACCACAGACAATACTGCTACCCTACAAAAAGATCTTGACTATGTATCTGAATGGTCAAACAAATGGCAACTTCAAATCTCAACAAATAAATGCTCTGTCTTACATATTGGCAAAAAAAATCAGAAAATAAAATACAAGCTGAATAGTCAAGATCTTGTTGATGACCCAAGCTCTGTAAAGGACCTTGGAATACTCACCTCTAATGATCTAAGTGCTAGAGCCCACTGCAACTACATAGCCAAAAAGGCACTAAGAGGTGTTAACCTAATCCTACGTAGCTTTTTCTCTGGTAATATCACACTACTAACCAGAGCATACAAAACATTTGCTAGACCAATACTCGAATACAGTTCATCAGTCTGGAACCCTCATTACGTATCTGATATTAGCACAATTGAGAAAGTCCAGAAATATTTCACAAGAAGAGTTCTCCACTCCTCTACTCGTTTTAGAATACCTTATGCCACCAGACTTGAAATTTTAGAACTAGAAAACCTTGAATTACGCCGTCTTCGGTCTGACTGAAGCATGGTATATAAAATCATACATTGCAATGTCCTACCTGTCAACGAATACTTCAGCTTCAACCATAACAACACAAGAGCACACAATAGATACAAACTCAAAGTAAACCGCACCAAACTTGATTGCAGGAAATACGACTTCAGCAATAGAGTGGTCAATGTCTGGAATACTCTACCCGACCTTGTAGTTTCTTCCCCAAACCCCAAAAACTTTAACCTTAGACTGTCTACCTCACCTCTTTCCTAAGAGGTCTGTAGGGGGCGTGCATAAGCGCACCAACGTGCCTACCGTCCCTGTCCTATTGTTTCTCTTATTCTTCTTTTATTTTTCTTATATGTACCCATTTCATGTATTCACAACTATGTATACACTTATACTTATTATCTTGTAAACAATTGGCAAATCAAATAAATAAAATAAATAAATAAATAAATAAATAAATAAATAAATAAAATGTTACCAAGAAACATTCCAGTAAATACAGTACAAAAAGTCTCTACAAAATATATGTCAAAGCAAGACAAACTAGCATATTGGCCTGATCTTAAAAGCTAAAAGTGCTTAACTGATTTTTAAGAACCATTGATTTTCAAAGCACTTACTTTTTAATATTTTATTTTATCTGTATCCCATCTTTATTTATATTTTTATAAACAATTCAAGGTGGTGAACATATCTAATATGCCTTCTTTCTCCTATTTTCCTCACAGTTCTGTCAGGCGATTTGGGCTTTGAGAAAGTAATTGGCTCAAACTTACCTAGCTGACTTTATTATTATTATTATTAAGGGGGGACTAATTCTAGTCCCATGGTCTCCTGGCTTTCTAGCCTAGTACCTCACCTACTAGACCAAAATTGCTCTTTGTGTGCTTAGAGATTGCTCACCAAAATTATAAAAATGTTGCATTTTGTTCACAGAATAGTACCTATAGTCCCAGTGTAGATAGCTCATAAATTCCTGACATTAAATCAAGAAAAAAGAAGCTACCATAACCTGAAAGCCACAAGAACAATTTCAGAGAAACAAACCAGAATCCAGACAAAACTGAGTGGGAAAAAATAGCAAACGTTTGTCAGTTTCAGGAGGATTTCAGTAAGAGGCAGAAAGACTAATAAATTCTGACAATCTAATATGGTGTTCATCCTGAACAGTACCACAAACAATGGCTTCTGCTACCTAATTAGTTGACAATGTTAAATTAATCAGCAATGCTGTCAATTAATAGTGCTGTGGGCAAGAGCAACCTCACTTAACCTAGCAAAGATTATAATCCAATTCAATGATAGCAAAGAATCAGATTTCTAATCCAGTAAATATTAGCAAAATCTTGCACAAATTTACTACAAAATTGATGCTTTGTTCTCCAGCCAGATTCATCTGCTTTATCAACATTGGACTTAATAGACCTTAAGATATAATGGAGCATTGTATCTGAAATGATAGGAAAATTATGAATGAAATCACTTTGTTTTGTGATGATGAATTAATATTTAACTTAGATCTCTTATAAATCCTGAAATGAAAAAAGCAACCCAAAGGCTTTGGTACATTAGATTCTCCTCCCTAAGTCTACAACAGAATCCAGAGCAGAAGACTGTCCTGGGATCAGTATTTGGTCAATTTTTCTCAATAGAAACATTATCAGATATACTGTATATGAACTGGGACATCTTGTCAACATCAATAAAACAGCTTGCCTTCCAGAATTGTAGGTGTCATTGCTAGAAGTTTTCAAGAAAAGATTGGATAATAATTTGTCTGGGATAGTATAAGGACTTCTACCTTCAACAAGGGGTTAGGCTAGAAGTCCCTCAAGGTCTCTTCCAGCTGATTCTATGGTGTTTACTGCAACAGTCTTTTTCCACTACTATCAGTATGTAACAATATATTGTCATATCTTTTATTTTTCTTAGTTGTGTCCTGCCTTTATTATTTTTACAAATAACTCAAGGTGGGGAACATATCCAATACATCCTGTTTTCCCCACAATAGCAAACCTATGAAATGAGTTCATCTGAGAAAGAGTGACTGGCCCAACGTCACCCAGCTGGCTTTCATATTTAAAATACTAGGACTTGTGGTCGCCTGTTTTCTAGCCTGATGCCTAAACTATTAGACCAAATTGGTTCCCTTTTGCCATATATAAAGCTGTTGATGCATTTAATCCTAGAGGTGATTTTTCTGATTTTATGAGTCAGCAGCACCTTCACTTTGTTCTACTTTAGCAGAGATTAAGCACACAACACAGCAAAGTCAAGCTACAGTCATACCAGCATTTCATTTGCTAGGCTGCTTTCACCACTGGTGAAAAACAAGGAATGAAGACCACCAGACACAAGCTAGAGCTGTTAGGGCCTACCTTGTAGTGGTAAGGATGGTGAAATTTAACTATTTCTTAATTCTTATTGCATCTGCCAATAGTTGCCTGATGGCCCTGTTTTTCTAGTGAGTTGGTCCACCCTGTCAGAGGGAGTTAATATCAAAGTTCACCTAAAGGGTCACTGTGACAAATATGCTTTATATCTGGCAGACAAAGTTGCTCATTGCTGCATGCTGGACTCCAGTTTTAAAGCAGAATATGTGTGGAATGGAAGGAGCCACATCTTTCAAGGTGACCATGGAAGTTTGAGCCCGTGGAACATGAAGAAGTGGACAAAGTCCTCTCAGCTGCTAATTCAGCTACTTGTATACAAGTAGTCCTTGTCAAG